AAATTCAGTGATTTATATTTTTAAGAAATCACGGTTGCTGTTCTCATATACATTAGTTACTACTATAAAACCATAGGCATTCCCAAAGAAAAAACAGAATGCTAGAACTGGAAGGGACCTCGAGAGGTCATTGAGTCCAGTCCCCTGCCCTCATGGCAAGAGCCAGTACCATCTACACCATCCCTGATAGATGTCTATCTAACCTACTCTTAAATATCTTCAGATATGGAGATTCCACAACCTCCCTAGGCAACTTATTCTAGTGTTTAACCATTCTGACAGTTAGGAACTTTTTCCTAATGTCCATCCTAAACCTCCCTTGCTGCAGTTTAAGTCCATTGTTTCTTGTCCTTTCCTTAGAGGTCAAGGAGAACAGTTTTTCTCCCTCTTCCTTGTGACACCTTTTAGATATCTGAAAACTGCTATCATGTTCCCCCCCAGTCTTCTCATTTCCAAACTAAACAAGCCCAGTTCTTTCAGTCTTCCTTCATAGCTCATGTTCTCTAGACCTTTAATCATTCTTGTTGCTCTTCTCTGGACTTTCTGCTATTTCTCCACATCCTTCTTGAAATGTGATGTCCAGAACTGGACACAATACTCCATGGAGGCCTAATCAGTGCAAAGTAGAGTGGTAAAATGACTTCTCGTGTCTTGCTTACAACAAGCAAGTTAATGCATCCCAGAATCATGTTTGATTTTTTTTTTAACAGCATCACAATGTTGACTCATATTTTGCTTGTGGTCCACTATGATCCCTAGATCCCTTTCTGCAGTACTCCTTCCTAGACAGTTGCTTCCCATTCTGAAGGGCTACGTCTACACTGGCCCCTTTTCCGGAAGGGGCATGTTAATTTCAGAGATCGTAATAGGGAAATCCGCGGGGGATTTAAATATCCCCCGCGGCATTTAAATAAAAATGTCCGCCGCTTTTTTCCGGCTTTTAGAAAAGCCAGAAAAGAGCGTCTACACTGGCCCCGATCCTCCGGAAAAAGCGCCCTTTTCCGGAGGATCTTATTCCTACTTTGAATAAGTAATTGAATCCCTATGTGTGAGACTGATTGTTCCTTCCTAAGTGGAGTACTTTGCATTTGTCCTTATTAAACTTTATCCTATTTACCTCAGACCACTTCTCCAGTTTGTCCAGATCATTTTGAATTATGACCCTATCCTCCAAAGCAGTTGCAACCCTTCCCAGCTTCGTATCATCTGCAAACTTAATAAATGTACTCTCTATGCCAATATCTAAATCATTGATGAAGATATTGAACAGAACCAGTCCCTAAACATGTGTTAGCTAACTATTAAGTTGTGAGTTACAAGTGCAAATATTCATCCTGACAAATATTAAACTCTGGGATTCATCAGCTAGGGTTAATTATGTAGCTCTTGCCCAACTGTAACATATTATTGATTAATACACATCTATATGCTACATTTTTTGGCTATGCAACACCAAAACAAATTTGAATCTGCCCCAGCAGTACTTCCCTGAGAGATGTAATGGAGAGGGGTCTTTGAAATAACTATCCATCCATAACAAAAAATTTCGTTTGGCCTGTCAATGTTTTTCTTTCAGCGTCTCTGACACACATGAAATCCTTAGCAGAAAAGCAGCATACTAAAGACCATCATTTCTCCATTCTTCATTAAGACTCCATGTATTCATCTCTCTGTAGGTTTTTGTAAGGCACTTATCAGTGTAGTATCTAATCACAAATCCAATTGATGTGACATCCAGAATTCAAATATCTGTGCATACAGAGCTAATGTATCTATGTATGCAAACCTCCCAGGCCCACATCATGAAATTATAACATTGACATAAAAAGAATCAGTTTTAGCCATTTGACAAATCATATATTACTAACTGGCTTCATACCTCTGTCTGCAAATGTAGACTGCAGATTTCTTAAGCCTGTTATGAAATTACACGATAAAGAAAAGATGCCTTGTGGCTACTCCAAATTTACCCAGCTTTGGCCTTTCTATGCTGTCGTCAGCCATAAGGCTTAGGTGGACCAGGCCTTAGTTACAAAGAAACAAAGATAGAGGTTGCAGAAGGAGCGCTGATTCTTTGCTATGTAACAGACTGTTGAATGTATGGATGTATTAATGGTGTGTTCAGACTTGTGCAGGAATATAGGTACCATTACCAGTACATAGTGTACATTAAAAGTTTCCTTAGTGGGAGATTTTCATTTGTAAATGTTGAGCTATCTTTTTATTAAAATACTTTAAAATATATTTTAAAACAAAGTTAATTAATTAAACAAGAAAAGAAACTAATTGAACATTATTGATTAATTCCAAACAGACCGAAGTATAGTATCAAATATACTTGTAATCATTATATAAGGAACAACTTAAAATTACAGTTCTACAGCATCATCAGGTAAAGTGGGTTATCATAGGGATAATATTCATTAACAACATTTATCCACAAGTAGTCCTAAAAGAGAGGTTTACATTCATCAGGTTCTTTTCGTGAAAGAGGAGAACGTCCAAGTTGCTGGTTATTGAAATATTATGTAATGGGGAAGGATTTTGTATCTAAGTGCTTCTCTTCTATTATTCTCTCTAACTTCTTGTACTGTGCTCGTGGCCCTAGAATGAGGGCTTTCCAATCTGGTTTTAAGTAATATGACTAATATCTGTCATGTGCATGTTCTCTCATCCTTTCCC